AGCCCGTGGTGGCTGACCTCACCTACTGCAAATGCTATTTCCTCTATTTTCCTTTACATTTTAATACCTTGTACTACAAGTATGCAGAAAAGGTCTTTTGACTTTCCTTGACTTCTTATTCTGGGACAATGGCTCCTATAGTAGGAAAGCTAGTATGTCACCATAACAGTCAGGGAACTAACATTGTTCGTAAGGAGGTCAGCAATGGCAGCCTTTGTTTTTCTGTAATGACAGGATTACGTTAAAGCTGACGTTTAATCTGCTTATATGTTTGGCCTTCCCTCGTTCCTCCCTCCCCCCATTCATCAACATGCTACTGATATTTTTAAGTAAAACCTTTCCATTTAATTACATACCTTATTTTAGACCCAGTGATGTCATCTCTGGGTTCCTGTGCTTCTCTGTGCAATGCAGACAGATCATGGATGGTGGGAGGGGCCTCAATATTCCTTTCAAGACTCTTTAACATTGATGCAAGTAGTGAGTTGGTTCTTGGGAGGAGTGATCCAAATAGTAAAATGTCTTGATGGATCGGTGTCGGTCTGGAGGAGTGGGTGTGCTTGGCTGACTGTATGTGCATGCAGACTGCCCTAGGTAATGTCCACATGTGATGCTAACCCTCCATGGTTGAAAGAACTGAGGGCCAGGGACAGTCAGGCTGGGCAGGAAAGTTCTAGAATTCTAGATGATGCTGGACGTTCTCCAGCCAAGAAATGAGACAGGTTCTATCTGACTTGCTGCAGCTTCCAAGGCCTCATTCACATGAGAAAAGGCCGGCACATACAGCTCCGTGCTGCATGCACGGCCGTATGGGCAGCTCCCGGGAAGTACAGGGGCTGCGTGTGATTAGTACGCAGCCCCTCCTTCTCTATGGGAGTACATGGCCGTACACCGCCCTAAGCTCACCCCAAGTGCAGGTCCGTACAGGTGCGTGTCTCGGCTCGGACGCAGACAGGATCCATCCTTTCAGCGTACGAGTATGGACACCAGCACGGACTTGCAGGATGGGTGAGCGTAGGGCGGCGTACGGCCGCATACTCCCATAGAGAAGGACAGGGGCTGCGTACTAATCACACACAGCACCTGTCCTTCCCGGGTGCTGCCCGATACGGCCGTGCATGCAACACGGAGCTGTACGTGCTGGCATTTTCTCGTGTGAATGAGGCCTAATGCACATTGTGAGACGCTCCCTGTACGCAGTGAAATCGGAGTAAACAATTTCAGTCCAAGAATGGAGCCGGTATGTCTGTGCAAGACTGAAGGCAGGACTGGAGTTCACCTTTAACTGGTGCTCAGAATTGGCAAGGCCTCATTCACATGAGAAAAGGCCGGCACATACAGCTCCGTGCTGCATGCACGGCCGTATGGGCAGCTCCCGGGAAGTACAGGGGCTGCGTGTGATTAGTACGCAGCCCCTCCTTCTCTATGGGAGTACATGGCCGTACACCGCCCTAAGCTCACCCCAAGTGCAGGTCCGTACAGGTGCGTGTCCCGGCTCGGACGCAGACAGGATCCATCCTTTCAGGGTACGAGTATGGACACCAGCACGGACTTGCAGGATGGGTGAGCGTAGGGCGGCGTACGGCCGCATACTCCCATAGAGAAGGACAGGGGCTGCGTACTAATCACACACAGCACCTGTCCTTCCCGGGTGCTGCCCGATACGGCCGTGCATGCAACACGGAGCTGTACGTGCTGGCATTTTCTCGTGTGAATGAGGCCTAATGCACATTGTGAGACGCTCCCTGTACGCAGTGAAATCGGAGTAAACAATTTCAGTCCAAGAATGGAGCCGGTATGTCTGTGCAAGACTGAAGGCAGGACTGGAGTTCACCTTTAACTGGTGCTCAGAATTGGCAGAGAGGAATTTCTGTTTGAGCAATTAACATGGTCCTTTCACAGCATAGTCACATTGCATAAATTGGGGTCTGTACCAAGATATTGGGGGCACCTGTTGGTTCCCCTCACCCAGTAAACTGACGTCTAATTGTACTACTGCTCTTAGCATGTCATTATACTTTTTGTACTGAATTATTGAATAAACTCGTTATCGGTCCCTGAAAATGGAACACTGCCAGAGATCATTTGAGATAATGAAGCGTGGAGGAAGATTCTGTATCGGGGGAATATTGCTATCATCTCTTTGTCTTTTGCCAGAAGCATCACACACAGAGATGTTGACCTATATTCTATATCTGATCGAACATCCATTGTGATGTAAAGGACAGTCCTCCAGGAGGTCTGAGAGATATCACACGAACCGTGACACCATTTCAGCCACGGCCAGGATACTTCACCTTGATGTCTTTGTGAAGCTGATTTGAGTATCTTGTCCCTGGTTGTCACAGGATTTGACCAGCAATACCCCATGGTGCTCGTGGTTTAATGAGGTACCTGAAGCAGCTGCTTCTGATAGAAGCTTACTTAGGCAGCAAAATATATTCTATATAAAAAATTGTAGGAAATTCTAGATAATCCGGGGAAAACTATCATCCAACGAATGCTTATAACGTAAAACTAAACTCCAGGCACACGGATACATACAAAGATGAAATACACATATGTAAAGTGTTGTATGGGGCTAAGAATTCGTAACTCAATGCAGCCACTCTTGTGGTTTTTACACTTCTGTGGGTAGGGCCAGATTAAGAGCATTATGGGTCTGGTGCAGCAGAGGCGGCTCTCTAATTAGGCAGCCGCTCACTCCTCGCAGGGGCCCCGTGAGGCACCAGCAAGCAGCTGTCTAATATGCCTGACCAGAGAGCTGCTGGTGCCTCTGTCTGATTGTGTTCAGCCTGGCCATTGGGCATTCCGAGGTGATTCGGGCTGGCCGGGGCTATTTTCAGTGGTTATATTTTCTTAAATCAGTCCACAGGTTGAACGAAGAAAATATAACCGTGTATACCCGACTTTACCCCTTAAATCATCCAGCAGTTTCTCATATCCCTTTAGGAACTCTATTGGAGACACTCCTATGTTGAGTTTCTGGGTCTGCACCCCTGCTGTGCCCATTGTAAGGGGTTCCCACTCCCCCTGTTGGCATTTTATTTATTTTGTTATTATGAAGAATTTAACAGGAGGAACTGGGTACACACGACGGTGAGTGGGAACACCCAGAACTACCTGGTGGACAGGAACAGGATCAGGAATTATGTCAGGGAGGTCTCACTATTGAAGTATCCTAGATAAGAAGCCAGGAGAAGCCTATACCCACTGGTAACCACTATAACTAAAATATCACTTTTGCTTGGACTAGTCCGTTAATATAATAGAATCAGGATTAAATTACAGTCTTACCGCTCTTTTATTGCTCCTTATAAATACAGTGGAGGGGAATTTATCAAAACTGGAGCAGACACAATCTGGAGCAGATTTACACTGTAATAAATCAGCTTCTCTGTCTCATTTTCAAATCTTACCTGAGCAAACTGAAGAGAGAAGCTGATTGGTTGCCATGTGCAACTGCTCCAGATTTTGTCTGCTCCAGTTTTGATCAATTCACCCCAGTGTCTTACTAGAGTTCTGTATTAATAAAATCTGTATTCATTGCTTTCCTTCCGTAACACGTAGACGTAACACTGTCTGCTTTTTTTCTCCAGGTATAATTTATTTATTGTCTTGTATCCTGTTGGTGTAGCTGGTGAACTCTTAACAATTTATGCTGCTTTACCATACGTGCGGAAGACTGCGATGTATTCTCTGCGACTTCCAAACAAGTACAACGTTTCCTTTGATTACTACTACTTCCTGATCGCCGTCATGTGTTTTTATGTACCACGTGAGTCAGACATTTGTTCACATGTTTTATGTAGTCCCAGCCATGAAAACATCATATTATAACACTTAAGGGGGAACTATATCATATTTTTAACATTCATGTTTTATATTCTTTTCTACTATTTATATCAAATCTTTATTATACAAACGAAAATGTAAAATACAGGGTGCACTCAGGACAGAGAAAGGTGAGTGCACAGCTGACACTGTTTTCTTTCAGACTGTCTCTCTCTAATTGGAAGTCTGTGGAAAGCCATAGACAGCAGGCAGGGAGGAGCAGGAAGGAGGAGTTAATCCTTCTATTATTCAGATGTGTGAGAATTTGAACTCATGGGAGTATATTTATAAACAATTCGCAGAGGTATTGGTCCTGTGAATCTCTGTGAATGTTCATTCTATGTGAATGGAGGCAAAAATTAACGTTCTTCGTAAATTTGCTTTTCAGGTTGTACGTATTTTCAGCTAAATACAGCATTATGACCACTAGATGGTGTTGATGAGCATAGGAGATATGTACAGTATTTATGTTCTATGCACCTCAGCTCTATGGCCCGAATGTGGTATTTACCTGAAATTACATTTGACCTGAAAAGAAAATATACTAAGAACATTCATATTTGCTTCTATTTACACAGAACGAACGTTTACAGAGATTCACAGGACAAATTGTTCTGCAGATTTTTTCATATAAAAAGACCCCACGATGTATATAAAGGAGAACTATGAGGTGAGTGAAAATCTCTCATCCTCATAGTTTGAGTCGACGTGTGACAATTAAACTGTCACACGTCGGCTCAATAGTTCGGGAAGTGAGCAAATGCATAGCGTCGCTCGCTCACTTCTCGATCATCTCCATGCAGAGAGAAGTGACTGCCAGTCACCGCTCCCCGCAGGGATTTCCCTCCCCGACTGGAGGAACGGACGGGGGAGGGGGTGGGTACAGCTGGCTCTGCCTCTAGATAGGCAGAGCCCGCTGTCATTCACGCAGCTGGGTGGATCTCGACAGCATTGTCGGGATCCGTCCCGGCTTGGGAGGTCTCAGTTTACCGCCAGCTGCAGTTCGCGATATACAGAGCTTTGGGTCACGGGAGGAGGTTAGTTTATGTCCTCCTGTGACCCTTAAGAGAACTATGGGGAAAAACACTTACCCCATTGTTCTCTTTTAAACTGTAACAATGAAATTCTCTTGACCCCTTTTGGTCTGGTAAACATGGCATTGAAAGCGTTGTGTTATGTCTGTATAATAAATGCAAAATATACCTGTTGATCCTGCCAGAAAACTTTTGAGATGATTACTTCCTGTGCTCTCAGTCTGTGCTGCACTCCCATTTCATTACATTGTTCCCAGCTATCTTTGAGGACTACAGAACCCCTCAGCTTTCTGTTATAGTGAAGAGGAGAAGGGGAGGCATTTGCAACCCTGTCCTAGGGTGACAATGCTGCTCTTCCATAGATATTGTACAGTGAGTGAATGTTGTCACCCTAGAAAAGAGAGTGTGTTATTGGCATGATCACCAGGTGAAAATAAAGGTAGATGCATCTGGATACTTTCCACCTGGGTCCTCCGACAAAAGTCGAGCTGGATGGTGCTGGTAGAGCCACCCACAACTTAAAGTTTGGCCGATTCAGCAGGAAATTGATGACATTTGAACAGTGTATGGCCAGCTTTAGGCTTTGAAGAACTAAAGACCTAGTTCTGCTTTAATGTTGTTGACCCACCAGTAAGGGTAACACATTATTTACCATCTGAAACCTTTCTTTTCAGTGTTTCCCCAGCTGTATTTCCACATGTTCCGTCAAAGAAGAAAAGTCCTGCATGGAGAAATCTTTGTGGAAAAGGACGATTAGCCCAACAACATCGGAAAAGCGTCTTTTAGCCCAGAGGCTCTTCGATCTCCAAACTCTTCTGGTCTTCTGGCTGGACTGTTGGTTTAACATCCTGGATAACCTCGTCCGACATACAACAGACTAATTTCAAACAAAAAACGAAACGACCTGGGATTTAGAAAGTAATTTTTTTGGGTCGTCCAGTCCCAAATTGTCCCCCCACCATTTTTTATAGATTTCAACCGATACCAACTTTGACTCATGTTTTCATTGAGTTTTGAAGGTGCTTTGTGATCTTTTTATAAAGGGAATGAAGATGAATTCTCAGTCAGTCATCAGTAATTCGTCTTGTTTATTTTTGTACTGTCTATAATGCTGTTTCAGCGACAACATCTCAGAACACCAAATAAAGGGAATTCAAATTGAGCTTTTATTGGGCAAAACCTTGATAAGGGCAAACCATAACGGCTTCATAGTTAGTCCCTTCGCTGCTGAACTGCAGTCTGCGTCATATATAAATAGATGTTTACTTATTTTCTCCCCATTATTGAGGATCTGAAAGCTATCACAGGTAGAGCAATATCCCTGAGGTGTAGTACCAATCCTTCCAAATAATTACAGAGAACCTGTCATTAAAAAAACTGCTGCAGGTACAAATGTGTCTGTATATATCTGTAGACTCTTCTAATTCACAGCTGAATCCTCATGCAATCTGGCAGGCAAAGCTGTGACTTGTTCATGGAACTAAAGCTTGCCTACCCATTAATGCCTATTGCACATTCCCATTGACCAGTGAGGCTGTCCATTGCAGAGATGGGCCGATAAGAATGTAAAGGGGCAGGAGGTAGGAGCAAGCTATGACACTTCTTGGTAATGGCTAAGGTTTACATATAAATAACAAGTCAGAGCTTATACAATCAAAGCTTGGAGTGACACTACTCAATTGTGAATTCTTTATGTGCAATGGCAACTCACCAGTGACTCAGACCCCACAAAAACAGCGTTTTCATATAGAATGCAAAAACCCTCCTGTGAATGTGACCACTACCAAAAAAATTCAGGAAGGCAACTCACCAGAAAGATGTACCCCTCAATAAGACACAGAAGCTTAATCCAATGCAGTTTTTCTTCTTAAATCACTTTACAGAAGATTTGCTGGTCAATTGAAGTGTTAAAAGACAATGATCTTCCAAGCCTAGTGTCTGCAATGAAGGCTAGCAGTAAACTGGGGGAGCATAGAAGAAGAAGGGAGGGTATATCAAAGACTACACCAGACAGTGGGAAATACCAAATGTATACAGCGAAACACGTTGTAGCAGCGCTAATCTACCACTAGATGTCAGGCATACACCACAACATAATATACAATGCAAAACATAGCAGTGTAATAGCAATAGCAGAAAATAACAGTAGCTGGGACAGCACACCAATTTAGAGGTCAGTTTCCACTTATATACCTTCTCTAGGTTATCAGTGGTAGATGTCCACCATATACTCCTTTGAAGATATTATATGCTGTAAATGCACTCACACTGCCTGGTGTATTGTGATGACAGAGTGACCTTCCGTACTGTTTCCCAAAAGGTCCCTCTAGTTGCCTGTGTCAGTCCCAGCTATAGGGTTCTGGTATTTAACATGGTCATGCAGTCTCAGGAGTTGGGAAACTGTGTGTTGACAAGGAAGCAACCATCAGACTTCAGGTGACCTCTGACCCCTGACATTCAACTGAAGTCTCAGGTTCATTAAAACTGAACAGAGGTACTGATATATATCTTGTCTTCATGCATTTGGCGTGTGTTCGAAGCACACATGCAGACCAAAGGATTCTCATTTTACTTCAATGGTGCAGTTTGGATGACAGTTTAGAACAAGGGCGGCCACCTCCGACCCTCCAGCTGTGATTTAACTACAAATCCCCAAATGCCTCGGCCTCTGGGAGTCATACCTGTAACTGTCAGTCTTGCTATGCCTCATGGGACTTGTAGTTCCACAACAGCTGGAGAGCCAGAGCTGCCCACCACTGGTTTAGAGGATGCCTTTAACTTGCTTTGCATTTCTTTGGCAAGCCCTATTGATCTATAACCATCCAATTAGAAAAACTCATGCTGCCTATTGAGTGGAGAGCTCTACCCGTGACTCAGTGTGGGGTGTACCTGATCTCTACAGAGAGACCACTATCTATAGTATGCTGGCAGGGGACAGGTTTCTCCACTCAAGGCTGTGGCTGCTTTCTAATGAAAAGGAACCTTAAGACTTTGCACACCTTATTGCATGGCAGGCAAAGCAAGTCAAATGTGGCCTTTTGCTGCACTTTGCTTTCAAATGAATGTGTTTGTGCCGAGCTGCATTCACATGCCAAAGGCAGCACTTTCCTCCCTCTTCTCTCACTGACTTAGCACCTTCTTACCACTTTCCTACAGTGTCTCCCTAGATTTGTCTTTTTTTTTTATCTGGATATAGTAGTAGTATTTCTCAGTGACTTTAAATATACTGTAATAAAGTATGCACTGCAGTTAGAAGCTTCCTGCACATGATTACCCTGCATATCTTAATATTAGGGATGCACCGATACCGTTTTTTCAGTATCGAGTACATTTTTTTTTTCCGGTACTCGCCAATACTGAATACTGATGCTGGAAGTCCTTTTAAGGAAGCTAGGCGGTGTGCAATGACTTGCAGCCTGGCTTCCTGATTAGCCGGGAAGCCGGGCGGCGGGTCGTGACCTGCTGCCCGGCTTCCCGAATAGCTGGAAAGCCGACTACATGCTCCCTCGTCACCAGATGACAAGGGAGCATGGAGCCGACTTTCTAGCCAATCAGGAAGCCGCCTGGCTTCCTGATTGCCCAGCTTCCTGACCAATCAGGAAGCCGGGTGGCGAGTCAAGACACAGAGCCCGGCTTCCTGATTGGCCAGGAAGCCGGCTCCCTGCTCCCTCGTCACCACTTGGTGACGAGGGAGTGTCATAAATTATATAATAATTTAAATAATTATAACAAAAATAATATCATTATTAATAAATAGATGTAATAAATGTGATAAATAAATAATGTACAGTATGT